GGATGCAGGCCATCAGGTCCTGGTGGCTTGTCTGCCTTTAGTCTCGTTAGCTTGTCAAATATTTCTCCCTCAAAATAGAGAATGTTACAACCTCTTTCCTCTCGTTAGTACCTTGCTTATCTATTATCTTTGAGATGTTTATAGTGTGCTTCACCATAAAAACAAATGCAAAATATTGGTTGAACTATTTGTCATTTCCCTATTCTCCATTATTAATTTCCCAGTTGCAATCTATAAGGATTCCACACTTATTTTAACTGCTACTCCTTTTTGTCTGGAAACACATAGAGGCTCTTGATTTTTTTAAAATATATTTCTTGCCAATTGACTTTCATAATCTATTTCCTCCCTTTTTAGTAGCTTTTTAGGGATCTGCTGCTTTCTTAAAAGATTCCCAATTCTCTGGTCTACTGCTAGTTTTTGTCTCTCTGTATGACTTAGGTGTTGATTGGATACTCTCCTTGACCACTGTTTTGGTAACCACAAGTTGCTCACCCTTCTCATGGAGTCCTTTTCTTTTGAATGGGCTAAATTTTTGCAGGCCATTGTGAAATATCTGCTTTAAATGTCATCCATTGCTAATCCGCTGATTTTCCTATCAGTCTGTTTCATACAGCCATAGAGATCCCTAGCATAAGAAAAAAGCCCTTCAGCCCATCACTTCTATGCTGGACAAAAACAACCACCTAACTATTTTAATTCCATTTTCCAGCACTTGGCCCATATGCCTTGGCAATGCATATGCACATCTAAATATTTCTTCTAAAATGTTATGAGGTTTTCTGCCTCTCACACCCTTACCATCAGTGAATTCCAGACCCACCTCCCTCTGGGTGTAAAAGTTTTTCCTCACATCTCCTCTAAACCTTCTGGCCTTTACCTTAAATCTATGCCCCCTGGTCAATAATCCTGCCACGAAGGAGAAAAGCTTCTTCCTGTCTACTCCGTCTGTGCCCCTCATTATTTTATATATCTCAATCACGTCCACTCTCAATTTCCTCTGCTCTAAGGGAAACAACCCCAGTCTGTCAAATCTCTCAATAACTAAAACACTCCAGCCCAGGCAACATCCTGGTAAATCTCCTCTGCATCCTCTCCAGTGAACTATTCTTCTAATTGCTCAGAGTGCTGCAGCCTAGGGTCGGTCCTGAGATGGCCAGTCTCCCAATAGAGAGCTCTTGCTCAAAACCCTGACCCATTGTTGCACACACACATGCTGTGGGTTTTTCCATTCATCACCCATGATCTCATAGCCTCCGGGAGCTCCAACAGCTCTCACTGCTGGCCTAAGAACAGCTGACTTTCCCGTGACTCCTGAGAGCCTGCTTCTGTGTCTAGCTGATCATGCCTTTGTCACAGAATGAGTATAGGCACAGAAGAAGATCTTTCAACCTGCTGTGTGTGTTCCCTCTCATGTAGTATTGCTCCTTGACTTATCCTGCACATTCTTCATTTAAATTATTACACTTCCTTCCTCTTGAATGCATTAACCCTGCCTCCACCACACTCTCACTCAACAGCTAACAACGAAATAAAACAATGAATTGCAGAGCTGGAGATTAAAAACAAAAAAACCCCAGAAATTGCTGGAGCAACACACCAGGTCTGGCAACATCTATGGCAAGGAAGCAGAGTTAACGTTTCGGGTCCAGTGACCCTTCTTCACTTGCTGCGAGAATAATCCATTCCTCGTGTTGTCATCGCTTTGCATTATCTCAGATCTGTGCCCTCTGTTTCTCGATTCTTCCAACAATAGAACCAGTTTGTCTCACTCTACTCTATCCAGACTCCTCATAATTTTGAACACCTCAAACAAGCCTCCTCTCAATTTTTCTTCTCCAAGGAGAAAAATCCCAGCTTCTCCAATCTATCTACATAACTGAAGTTCCTCAACCCTGGAGCCATTCCCATGAATGTTATCTGCATCATCAGTTAGGCCTTCATATCATTCATAGAGTTTTTACAACATGGAAAACTCCCTTTGGCCTATCATTTCCACTTTGGTCATTAAATGTCCATCTATTTGAATCTCAGTTTCAAGCACTTGGCTGTAACCTTGTATGTTATAGCATTTCAAGTGTTCATCTATTTAATGTAGTTCCCAGAACCATTATGTTTTAGACAGGTTTAATGCAACTTCCTTGCTTTTATATGTTGCTAATGATAAAGCCCCGGATACTGTATATTTATTAGCCGTACTCTTAATCTGTCCTACCACCTTCATTGATTTATACACATAAATATCCAGGTTCTCAGCTACTGTACTCCCTCTAGAATTGTATACTTTATTTCATATTGTCTCTTCACATTCTTTTCACCAAAATGAATTGATCGCTCCACACTTCCCAGCCTATCCATTACTAATAAGCAGTTCACCACCACCTACTTGAGGGTATTTAGAGATAGGCAATAAATGTTGACTTAACTAGTGATGCCCAAATCCCATGATGATTGTAAAAAAAAACCCTCTGCCTTATCAATTTTAAACCCCTTAATTGTCTAAAGAATATCCTGCTTCAGCATAACCTGTGTCATATCTTTTGTCTTGGTGAAGACAGATGCAAACTTTTCATTTAATTGTCTCAGGCATGCCTTTTGGCTCCATATGTAAAACTTCTTTTTGAAGCCTATTCAGGCTCACTCCCTTTTTTCTTAATAGAAGACTTTAGAATGTTCTTTAGGTTAGCTGCCAGTTTATTCTCATATTCTCTTTGTTTCTGTTACCTGCTTTTTCAATCTTCTTGGAATTTTGTAATCAGGCTGGCTATTGGCTGTTTTCTCAACCTGACATCTGTCCTAAGTATGTTTTTCATATTCATCTTCATTTTTGTATTTTTTTTAACCTAAATGACCCTATACTTTTTGCCTTACTTGTTCCCTCCATAGGTGTTCACCTCGACTGTGCCCAAGCAGCTTCTTAAGCGACAGTTTTGATTTCAATTTATCTGGATCTGATTCGTACAGCATTGAAATTTGCTTACAACTTGCTCTTAAAGCATTGGATTGTTCCTTGTCAATTTCTGTCTTAAACCTTATTATAAAATTATCACTATCTTCAACATATTTGTGTACTGATACCTGGCTACTTGACTCACCTGATTCGCAAATGCCAAATCCAGCAATGCCTCTTTTCACATTGGACTGGAAGCTTGCTGCTGTAGAAATCGCCTCTCAACACACTCTAGGAACTCTTGACTCTCTTTTATTGTTTATGCTATTATCCAAGTCTGTATTTAGATAATTAAAGTCCCCCATAATAACTATTCTATAATGTCCACATCTCTCTCTGTGATTTCCTTGCAAACTTGTTTTACTTCTTTCCCACTAGTTAGTGACCTAAAGATCTCACTGACCAATGTAGCTGTTCCATTTTTTTTTCGCTTAGTTCTAGATTCTGTTCTTGGCTGCACTGGGAAATCTACTGTTTCCTTATTTTCTCCTGAATCAACAACTTCTCCTTTTTTCCTTCCTTCCCCATCTTCCCTGAACACTTTATATCCCGGAATATTTACTGCTCAATCCTGCCCTATGTTGAAGCTTGTTGGGATTGTAGAGTCATACAGCATGGAAACAGATCCTTCAGTCCAACTCATCCACACCAACCAGATATCCCAATCTGACCTAGATCCATTTGCCAGTATTTGGCCCATATCCCTCTAAACCCTTCCTATTCATATACCCATCCAGATATTTTTAAATGTTGTAATTGTACCAGCCTCCACCACCTCCTATGGTAGCTCGTTCCATACATGCACCACCCTCTACGTTAAAAAGATGCTTCTCGGGTCCTTTCTTGAATCTTTCCCCTCACCTTAAACCTATGTCATGTAGTTTTGGACTCCCCCACCCTAGGAAAAGACCTTTGCTACTCACCTTATCTATGCCCCTCATGATTTTATAAACCTCTATAAGAGTCACCCCTCAGCCTCTGTCACTCCAGGGGGAAAAAAAGTCCCAGCGTATTCAGCCTCTCCCTATAACTCAAACCCTCCAGTCCTGGCAACATGCTTGTGAATCTTTTCTGCACCCTCTCAAGTTTAACAACATCCTTCCTAAAGAAGGACAACCCGAATTTTACACAGTATTATAAAAGTGGCCTCACCAATGTCCTATACAGCCACAACATGACATCCTAACCCATATTCTCAATAACCTTACAAATGAATGCAAGCGTGCCAAACATTGTCTTCACCACACTGTCTACCTGTGATTCCACTTTCAACGAACTGTTAGATGAAAAAGCTTGAGAAGAGGCCAGTGTGGAGCTTAAATTTTGGTATAGATGCATTGGGTCAAAAAAACCCGTTTTTGTAAATGTATTGAAATGTTGAAATTTAACAAATTTATCAATAGTAAAAAATAAGAGTTCAAAAAATGCAAATTATAAATCCTAGTGATAAATTCATTCAACGGTCAGTCTAAATAATTTAATTTCAACATCATGGAAAGATAGGGAAGCAGTGTTTTTGTGATGTTATTGATTTTGTCTCTCTCTTGATAATGCTTTTCATATCAGTGCCATAGTTTGAGACATTGAAGTCTGTAGCAATTTATAATATAACCATGCCACAATTGTGACATAGCTCGTGGAGAAAGTGGGCAGCAGAGCTTGCTAATCTTCAGTGTGTTGATATTGCTCATCCTTTATGACACAACTGAATCAGATTCATGACAAGTAATATTACTCATATCACTTTCTCATATCAGTTGAAACATCTGAACTGTGTCCATTGGGATGAAAGGTAGCACACTTTGTTTTAGTTTTAAGATAACGGTTGTGTTTCATAATTGTATCAATGATCAGTTGTCAATTCACACAAAGTCATTACTGAGCACAAAAACTCTTGAAATCTCTTGGTTGCAAATAGTGAACTCAATGTTGCTCCATTTATTGTTTTTGGAGAAGAATTTAAGATTATTTCATTCACAAAGATTATCTGTGTTAAAATTATGTAGCTGATTACTTGCAACTCTTACTTTTGATCTTTTTGTTATTACAGAGGTAAGGAGACTGGCCATGATGTGGACTTTTTGATCAACTGCCCAGAAACCATGGATGAAAACTTTCTTCGTAAGATAGTCAATAAGCTGGACATTCGGGTAGATATCAACTCTGATCGATCAAGTTGCTTATTGCTAAGTCACTGTAATTAATGTTATATAATGTATATGTCATTTATTTTATGCGAATAGCAACATCTAATGGAAAAGCAAGAACCACCACAAGTTAAAAATTAGCCAAAAATCAGCCAATGCATCAGGAACGTTTGTTCACTAGATTCAAGGCAGAACAGATTTATAATTGCAATTATATTAAGAATAAAAGTTAATTTCTTTTGAGATTCAACCTTTGAATCTAATTAGAAAAAGGAAGAATTATATTAGCTCTGATTTTATCTCCAGGCTTGTTCTGGGTCAATGGTGGGTAACGTGACTTCAATAAAGATTTTACCTTCTGGTGCAGAAAACAGACTTGGGCATTTTACCTCCTAGGCTTCATTAGAATTCCAAGTGCAGTTTTCCCACTGAAATCACAGAGAAACAAGTTCAATTTCATAGCAGACATCTTCATGGCACCATCAAAGGCTTAGGAAATGTGAAAAGTCTTGGGCCACCACATCATTACACAATGTGATCATCAATCTTGCACCAGCTTTGCTACTGAGGATACGCCTTATAGGTGTACTAAGTGTTAAGTGCAATCTAATGTCCTCCGCCAAGGTGCGTTGGTAGAGGGGGATGCATTGTAATTGACTGAGAGATCCCAATGCCTTCACCCTGTTAAGTCAGGGTCAGGAAGCCTTTCGGGCTACCTTTCTGCTCAGTGGTACAACACCTTAAGTGGCAATTTAAGAGCTTCACTCTGTCCCATTCAACCAGCAATGGTGGGGAGCTCACTGTCCAAGAAGGCTAGCCAACAAACACTGTTTAGTTTTCTTGTGGTTTTTAGGGTCATATGCTTGATTGTGGAATCTGACATCGGAAAGGGGAAGGCCATATGATGCTATCTCTCTGCTCTTGGTGTTGACACCCTTCTGTCCACACTCGCAAATACCCCACGTTGCCACACCTGTCCTGTCCACATTCACCTCTCTCTCATTGTGGATCCTTTGCATGGGAAATATGAAACAATGAAATATCAACAGTCATGCATGCTCATGGTGCTGCAGAGCTGCTAGTATCTACTTAAAGATAGAAATAGGAGCAGAAGGAGGCTATTTTGCTCTTCAAACTATCTCTGCAAATCAACATGATCATGGTTGATCATCCAACTCATTACCCTGTTCCTGCTTTCTCCCAATACCTTTAAAATCCATTTAATCTAAGTATACTTTTCATATTCATCTTCACGTTTGTATCTTTTTCACCCACATGTCTCTGTATTTGTTTGCCTTACCTGTTCGCTCCATGGGTATTCACCTTTACTGTGCCTAAACAGTTTCTTCAGCTACAATTCTGGTTTCAATTTATCTGAATCTGATTCATACCACATTGAAAGTTTCTTATACCCTGCTCTTATGCATCGGATTGTTCCTTGTCATTTTCTATCTTAAACCTTATTATAAAATTATCACTATCTTCAACATATTTGTGTACTGATACCTGGCTACTTGACTCACCTGATTTGCAAATGCCAAATCCAGCAATGCCTCTTTTCACATTGGACTGGAAGCTTGCTGCTGTAGAAGTCGCCTCTCAACACACTCTAGGAACTCTTAACTGTCTTTTATTGTTTATGCTATTATCCAAGTCTGTATTTAGATAATTAAAGTCCCCCATTATAACTATTCTATAATGTCCACATCTCTCTCTGTGATTTTCTTGCAAACTTGTTCTACTTCTTTCCCACTAGTTAGCGAGCTAAAGACCTCACTGACCAATTTCTTTCCCACTAGTTACTGACCTAAAGACTTCACTGACCAATGTCAATGTTCCTTTTTTTTTGGCTTAGTTCTAGATTCTGTTCTTGGCTGCCCTCAGAAATCACCAGCCCTAAATCTGCTCTATAGGTTGATGATTTAATGACAGATTCTAGTGCTAAATTCATTATCTCATGAAAATAGGTGCCAGGATCACAATGAGATGTTCATCCTAAAATGATGTTTGGATGAAGGAAGCAAACTAGTTTTGTGTAGTTTTCTGCTCATTTTAATGATTTCAGTGCCCAGTCAATGTGAGCTACACTGCTCAATGACTGAATCTGTCATTTGTTGCCTGTGAAATTGGTGAACATGACAATATCCACTTTATCAATGGTCAGGCACCAGTCAGACACTGATGGTGTGGAAATGTCCCCTGCACAGCTGAGCTGGACTCCTCTGGTGCCTTGATGATGACTCCAAGCCACAAACAATCCTGACTTTGAAATACATTGCCAGTCCTTCAGTGCTGCTGGGTCAAATTCCTGGAACTCCCTCCACAACAGTCCTGTGGTTTTACTTGCACCAAATGGACTACAATGTTTCAACAAAGCAGCTCACTACCACTTTCTCACCTAGGGGTGGATAATAAAATCCTGGCCCAGTCAGTGAGCCTCCTCATCCACTGAATGAATAAAAAATAACAGGTGATGTCCCATTATAACAGCCTGACAAGAGCCCATTATAAAAAGTTTAAAGGCAGCGGTGAATTTACAGCCATTGTCTTAGCAAAAATACATTGGAACAGTACGGAGAGATAGATGACTCACTAAATCCATGCATGGTACAAACAGCAACAGTGAGTGTAGGCAATGGGGAGTCGGAACCATGTTTCAATTGGAAGTGTGTTTGATGAGTGTTGTTTGTCACCAGTCATCTTGAATGTCTCTGCAGAAGCACTGATCAAACAAGCATTTGAAAACTAGTGTTAAGATTGGGGGAGGGGAGCAAATGATAACTTCAATTAGATTTGCTAATGACAAAGTGCTTGAAGCAAGCACAGGGAAAGGATAGATGAGTAAAACCAGGCAGGACCTTTGGAATGAAAAGGAGCCTTAGCAAAACCAAAATAATGCAAGTGTTAAATCATCAAGAAATATTCATATATTCATGGAAGGAAGAGAACTGGGACAGGTGCAAGAATTCAAGTATTTTTGAAGCATAGTCTCTGCAGATGGAAGATGCAACAAACAAATAAGATCAAAGATAACAATGGGCAAAACGATATTTAGTAAGAGACAGTTGCTAATCAGAAAGTTGAATTGACAATTTGAAAAAGCAACATGTAGAGAGCCTGAGTCAGAGTGTTATTTTTTGATGGATCTAAGACTAGAGCTTGCAGAAGGAGGGAAGCATGTAAATAAATAGCTTTGAAATGTGTGATTGGAAGAGAATGGAAAGGATCTGCTTCCACAAAAAGTAACAAATGTTGAAATGAACACAATTAGGAGAAGGAGGGAGACTGGGCAGGGCACATTTTAAAGGAAGCAAACCTGTAAGAGACATTATGGTGGAAAGATTTCAATGAAAAAGATGATGAAGGAGGAGAATATTAATGCTGGCCGGCTTGAACATTGAAGGAAGCTATTGTCAAGGCATAGCATGGAGATCTATGGAAAGACTACATTGAGTCAAAGACTTCCCTTTGGGCAAAGCACATACGATAATGTTTTATTTGGTAACAAGTTCTGTTATGACAGATTGCAGAGATTGGCAACAGCCTCCCTGCAAAATTGCAGCATCCTTGAACACTACGTCTCAGAAATGTCCAGGAAAATAACTCTTAGCCTATAGACAATGTGGGTAGATAAGTAAGATAAGCTGTGAGCAGCTCGCCTTAGCCGCAGCCTTTTAAGAGGCCCACTTGCTTCAAGCCCCAGTTCTAAAGCAGCTGCTCCTCCTCTTCCAACACTTCATCTGTCCAAATAAGTGACATCAAAAAGGTGCTCACATTAAATAGTGAATGTTTAGGATGGAAATGTAAGGATATAATCAGAAAGTAGCAAAGAAGCTCAAATCTATCTTAGAAATGCATTAATCACAACTGAACACAGATTCTAACTTTTTTCCCTTTATTCATTAATGGGATGAGGGTGCTGCTGGCTAGGCAGCCATTTATTGCCCATTGCTAAGTGCCTGGAGGGCAGGCCAGAGTCAAACACATTGCTGTGGGTCTGGTGTCACATGTAGGCCAGACCAGGTAAGGATGGTAGTTTCCTTCTCTAAAGGACATTAGTGAACCAGATTGTTTTTCCTGACAATTGATTCATGGTTGTCATTAGATTCTAAATTCAGATATTTTATTGAATTCAAATTCCACCATCTGTCAAAGCAGGATTTGAACCTGGATCCCCAGAATGTTATCTGGGTCTCTGGATTAACAGTCCAGTGACAATACCACGAGGCCATTGCCTCCCCCAGCTTCAGATAGCAGTCACATCAGACTTATGAAACTAATTCCATTGCTTTTTACTGAGAAAGTTTATTATTGACCAGCTCCACCATAAAAAGCCATAGTCAAAGGGTTTCTAACAGGAATCGAGTAGTAGGCAAATTTTACACCATTTTAGCTGTTCACTTACATTGTTCTTGCTGGTAGATTGTTTTCATAATCTATGGTCCCAATTTGAAACCAAAGAGAGGTAAGTTCCCAAAGTCCTAGAGAATGATAAGGGTGCTCTCTCATTAGTAAGAGATGGCTGGTGGCGGTTCAAGCTGAGGGTCATCACATCTCAGGCAAGGTTGAGAAAATGGGATCTTCATGGTGACCTCAGCCAATTCAGGAATTGAATCTGTGCTGTTGGCATCATTCTGCATTGCCAACTAGCTATCACCAAGTTAAAGCTCAAAGCATCATGTTATTTGTCCTTTTTAAGAATGTACACTTTATAAATAGCATGTAGGTTTTTTTTTCTTTCCAATTTCCATCTTCTCTTTTGGTGTTGTTCATGTTCATTCTGGCTGACTACATTCTATACCATTCTTGTCTGTGTATAAAAGTTAAAGAACATAAGAATCATAGATTATATAATTTACAACACAGAAGGAATTCATTTGGCCCATTATTCTTCTGTGTGTGCTGAACCATCAACAGGATTTATATATCATAGCAATTTGTAGCTCCTCACTGTAGAAAAGCATCCTAAAGTGAAGCTCCAAAGAAGAATCGTTGTTTCAAAATATTGACTCTGTTTCTGTCTCCACAGATGCTGTCAAATCTGCTGAGTTTCTCCAACATATTCTGTTTTTATTATTCAAAAGTGCTTTGCAGGTTTTGAAAAAAATAGACTCTAATCTAATTGCAACTCAATATTCTTTCACCAAACTCAAGATGTTAATCACATGGAGAGCGTTCATGGATACGTATTGAAAATTATTTTACCTTTAATTGTAGGGAATTTTACATCCACCATATAATTCACTCATGAGTTTTCATGCCTGATTATATAGTTACTATAAATAGATTTAAGATTAAGTGAGGTGAAACTATTTTATTCATATTGCATCTGAACTGCAGAAATCTCATCACTGTACTCTTTGCTCAAACTGTATTGCTGTGAAAAACAATGCCTTTTTGCAGTCAGCTCAGAATGTGACAGTCCTCTGGAGGCCTGGAAACCAATGGTAAAGTGAAGGAGGCACAGGTTGACTGTTTGCATCGTAACCTTGTCATAGGAACTAACATCTTGAAAGGATTTAGCATTAGCAATTAGGATGGCTTGATACTGCAGCACTGGCCTTCTATTTGGAAGATGAGATTTGTCACCAGGGATGTTTTTAGAAAACCATTTCTTCTTTTCACTGTTTGGTCAAATAACAAAATGTGAACTGTCACAAGTATGGAGGAAAAAAATGAGTTTCACTGGCTTGACAACTGCGGTAAAAATGCTGAACTGAAGGTCATGTACAGGTATAACTTTCTTCATACATGAAATGTATTATTTTGTAAATCTGACAATTTTATGTTGGACAGCTTTGCTTATGATATCAATCAATAACTTGTTCACAGATTATTTCCCCTTTCCTCAGGGTCTGCTTCTGTACTACGATATGGTGGAGGCCACATTTGAAAAAAGAAAATTACCCAGCAAAAAATATGATGCCATGGATCATTTTCAAAAATGTTTTCTTATCCTAAAATTGAACAAAGCGCTGGTGAAGAACAGAGTCCTCGGTACGTCTTCTGTGTCTGCAGCAAGGCCAACTGATAAGGGGGCAGAACCTGAAGTAAAAACTCAAGTTAAAGATTGGAAGGCTATCCGTGTGGATCTGGTCATTGTGCCTACTCAGCAGTTTGCCTATGCACTTTTAGGATGGACTGGATCAAGAGTGAGTAGGCATTTTCTTTTTTATCATAAAGATTGTGTTAAAAGCCTGGAGGCAGTAGAATAGATATCTCTCTTTCTTTGGAAATTGTTATTAACCAGCAGATCCCAAGCACTCTCGCATCACAGTCAATAAATACATTAATGGCTCATGAAATGTATCTTTTCTCAATTGGTGTTTCCCTTCTTCCAGCTCATCTGGTTCAAACACCAGAGTAAATTACATTTTCAGACTGCCAGTCAGATTTACAGAAGGAGCAATCCCAGATAAATTGGCAATTTTTAACAGCTGGGCATGAATTGAAACAACTGTAAAAATCTACTTAAGGCAGATAGTGACATCAAGTAATTTGATATAAATAATTGTAATGCAGCCAGCCACATTGATTGAGTGAGTACCTGAGCTGCACTGCTAGACGTGGATCAATTGGTAAATATAAGAACATAAGAAACAGGAGTTGGAGAAGGCCATATGCCTGTCAGGTCTGCCCTACCTCTTGATGTGATCATGACAATCCTCAGAATCAACTTCACTTTGCTCCCACCCCCATTCCCAATATCCCTTGATTCCCAATCAAATCCTGACAAAAAAATCCGTCCATCTAAACCCTAAATAGCCAGAGGAGGTGGTAGAAGCAGATATGATAGCAATGCTTAAGAGGCATTTAGACAGACACATGAACAGGCAGGGAATAGGGGAATAAGAACCATGCGCAGGCAGATAGGCTTAGTTTAGAATGGCACCATCGTGGGTGCAGACATAGTGGGCCAAAGGGTTTGTTCTGGTGCTGTATTGTTCTATGTTCTATGATGGTGTATCCTCAATGCTCAAATTGTGCAAGGTTCAAATCCCTCTGGGTGAAGAAATTTCTCTTCATCGTAGTCCTAAATGACCAGCCCCAGAAACTTTGTCCCCTTGTTGTGGATGACCCTCAACTGAGGAAAGGATCCCTCAGTTGAGAAGTCTCTTCATAATTTGGAATGTTTCACTGCCACACATTTGTATATGTTCAAGACCCTGTCCTGGGCTTGAACACAAAAATCAAAGATGACACTCTGGTGCTTTCCTGTACCTCTGACATCAGAAGGTATTCATTACCTTTTGACCGAATTCCCTTTGCTAACTTATTTGGATATCCCAAGTTATAGGAATGTGACAATAATTTTACATATTGGGAATTACGTATTGTATAAGTTAACAGATATGAAAAGGTGAATGTTGGAGACTGCATTAATCTCCACTTAGTCTGATGATAATAGTTTTGGGTAAGGAAAATAGAAGTCTCGCTCAAGATCCTGATGGAGATATGGATCACATTGCCTTTTAAGAGTCTTAGTTATTGTGTCTAACTAGCCAATGTAATTTGTATCTATTGCTACCAAGTAATAGATTACATCTTGTAAGACAAGTGACACTTCCCATTCAGAGTTAATAGTGTTTGTTCTCTACCACTGTTAACCAAATAAGCCCTTAGACCTTATGTGGTGTAGTCGTAGTGTGCCTGTCTGTAGACCAAGTGTCTCGAATTCAGGTCCTACCTGCTCCAGAGGTATGTAATAACACCTACGAACAGGTTGGTTCAGGAAAATACCTACTTGTCAATTTTCATCCAGAAAAGAGGATTGTTGGCAGACATGATCCCAAACATTGCTTGGCTCCCCTGTATGAACAACGTCATAAACCCCATATAGACCATTGTGCGCAGACATCAAGTACACAATGAGCACTTGCTCACAGAGATAATGACATTGATTTTCCCCCTATTTTAAGGGCAGAGGCTGGTGTGCTGGGTGTGCTGGATATGCCACCTCCAATACCAAGAAAACTCCATGCCACATGCCATTCAGCACATCCAGAGCTGTTGGCAGAACATAGGCACGGTTCTCAGCCTATTGCAGGCTTTATGACTGGCTTGCTGGGTTATCAGAAGCTGGTAGTACATCAGAGGCCTACAGGTCCTGGGTGTTAAGGCCAACTTTTTTGGGGATCTGGTGACAAGAGGGTAAGTCATTTTTATAGGTTTCTGCAGGGTTGGGTTTTTGGGGAGAGCATATTAGACGCAAGAGCATAAGGGTTGCTTTCAGAGGCCACCTCCTTAACCACTGCTGCCACCACCCCATCCAAGTCTCCAACTGCTCCCAAATTAGAGGCCACCCCTATCTCCACAGGAGGGTTGCTCTGGGAAGTCAGCTAACTTTCTCATTCACCAGGATGGCATGTCATCAGGCAGTTGGTGAGTTGAGGCCATGAATTGACAATTTAAGGTCCTTTAGTTGTGACTGGTTGAGAAGATCTCATTTAGTAGCCACTGGGATGCCCACTTGATGTGTTTCTACAGTAAACAAAGAGTTGTTGGCCATCTTCCAGGTAATTGACAGCGCAAGGATTCAGAGGGTTCAGGTGTGGGAAGGGAGGAGAGTGCACAGGCAAGGAAGTCACAAACTTCCTCGTCTGGCCCAGAAGACCACTCGTACTCTGCCTGACCACACAAATTTTAGACATGGCAGATGGGCCACTACAGACCTGCATCTATCAAGTAGTTTTGCTACACACAAAGGGCAAGAGGTGTTTAGAGCTCTCTTCCACAAACAGCAGTGGATGCAGGATCAGTTGTTAAATTAGTCTACCTCAGATTTAAAATTTTGTTAAGCAAATGTATGAAGGGATACGGATGAGAGGAGTTGGGCCACAGATCAGCCAAGATCTCATTGAATGGTGGAACAGACTTGAGGGGCTGAATGGCCTACTTCTGTTCCAGCGTAACTTAGAGCCCAGTTAAAATTGTATTGGGGAGCCATGTAAATACTGGGACCACAATATGCAAAGATTTATGACATGACTTCCTTTGCATTAGGTGGGTGTTTCATCTGAATGCAAAAGCCTGAAGGTTAACCTTGCAAATGGCTTATAAAGATTGGACTTTCTGTAGGAATATAAGGTCTTTAACAGTTTACCACCAATTTTATGCCAGGCAGGTAGTATTAAATCAAACTCAATAAAAGTCAAAATATTTCAATGCACAAGTACATCCAAAAGCTTAGATACAGAGTAACAAACTGAAACTCGGACTACTTCACCTTCTGACATTCTTAGCAGGTGAATGTGCAGAATGTGGTGAATTCAGACAGGCGGGAAGTTGGGAAAAATCTTATAATTTCCTTTATACATTATATTTATATATTCTATCATGTTTTTATTTTTAACTTCCTCGCCAATGTTTTCTTATTCAATTCTGAATTCACACATTGATCTCTCCCCCCATCACCCTTGCAATTTTACTAGCTGTTTGCAGGCTTAAAATCTCCTTCTCAATTCTTCCTTTTGTTTCCTCTTTGTTTACCTTTGTCATCCATCTTATTTCTTTACACAGATTTCTTTGTTTGCCGTCTATTCAGTCTCCCTTCAAAAATGTCATGATTGACTTTACATTTGATTCTGTTTATTTTTTTCTTTCCCATATTGTCGCAGTCTTGACAAATATCTTTTCTCTGCCTCTTTGCTTTCTTATTTCTTCGCTTTTTCCTCTTCACTTCATTTTCGTTCAGTTGATCCAGACACACAAGTTGTTTTAAAGTGTATGATAAACATCACTGGTGTACAGATCATGCTACACTGCAATCTGAGAATCTCTGGGGCACTTAAATGGTCCCTGAGAGCTTCCTTAAGTTAGATCTTCATGAATAGCTGGACTTTTTCCATGCAGATATTCCAGAAATTGACAAATAAGTCTTTATTTTGAAGTTCAAAAGACTTAAGGAGGTGGTTCAATAAATTTGGAGATTGTTGCAAAAATTGGGACAGTTGCCAGGTATACAGATTGTCCAGTCAGCTCACCTTGACATCCTATTTTTGGATCACTTTTATTTTGCAAAGACAACAGAGGAGAAAATATCTATAAGATGACACAACAGATGGTCAAGGAATGAAGTACTAACATGTTTTAAGTCCTCTATTGCTTTGGGACTTGTAGACCTTGAATAATGACATAGTATGTATGTACTTCTCTACTCCACCTTTCAGTCTTATTCTAGCTGCAATCCATAAAAATTAAATTATTATCTGTTAAAATGAATTTATTTACTTTTAGTAGCTAGGATATTGAATGTTTGTGATCCTGCTATATTAATAGTCTACATTCGTTGATTTAGATTGAACAATAGAAGGGCGAGCCTAGAAAAAAACAACCAATTGATCACAGTGGCATCACAAACAACTAATCCTGGTTTCTACTCTAATGTATCGGATAGAAATGTTGAGCATGAAAAGACAGAATTTATCAGCTAGTGAATAAAAATAACATTTATTTAAGAACTAATCCTTCTCTTTGCTGACACATAATGATTGTTACAGTCTGCCTTGCTAGGTTGGATGCCCATGAGCATATTATAACAATTAACTAGGTTTCCATTTTAATCAGCTCCCCATTTCCCATTTTTTTGCTTAGAACATAGCAAAAACTCATTATACCACCTTAACATGCTTGCTGTCACAGAATACTGATATAAACTAGATCCATGTTCACGATTCCTCTGAAATCATGTTCTTTGCCACCTTGTGCAAGTGCATCATTATCAGCTTCAGCTTCAGAGGTGCCCATGTTGCACAATGGGTGGAGGAGGATTCATTTCAGTTTTGTTTTTAAAAAGCAATAATGTCAGAAACACTCCTGAAAGTACCAAAAAGATTTTAAAGACTTCTATGACCGCAGGCCCCGACCATCAACAGAAATCAAAGAGGTCAGACCAGCAGTGAGGATTTTATCTTAAATGTAGCTCAAGGTCAGCAAAGTATGCACTGCTAGAATAACAATAAAATAACTCAGACATGGATATTTTAAAATCTAGTTTACTCATGAATGATAAAAATTAAGATGATTTCTGATTAATAACTGTCGAAATAAAAGACAGACTAGGAATGACTCAGTGAAATATTGCTGAATATGTAAAATGTGCAATATTCAAACAGACTAAAGCTTTGATTAAAATATTAAACAGCTGAATATT